TGAATGCACGGCCAGCGGCGGAATCAGACACAACATGTTGGGTGAAGATTTTGAAAAGCCAGACGTAGTATTATGCTACGAGCAAGTAAAACACTTTTCTGCTCACAATGCTCGAACTGCAAGGCTACGTAATGCATATATAATTTTGATCGACTTAGCCTAGTTCGTCTGTCCGTCGATTGTTGAAATGGTCACGATTGTAAAAGTTGGGTCAGAAAACTAATATGTATGACAATCTTTATTTGTTCACATCTGTAATGAACAAAAAAAAAAAAAAACTAGAGATTAACAATTGTTTGAGTGCACAACATTTGTCACAAATACACAGACAAAGACTAAGGCTACGTTGATAAGATGCTTGCAATAAGCCAAGAGACTTTTGCCTTTCAATTGTACAATAAATACTTAAAGATCACGGTAAAAATGATTTGATTTGACTCAATCCTTCTCATACACTCACAGTTCCAGGCAACGAGAGTCATAGATTATATTATAATCGTGTAATACTAGCATAGTATAAAGGTTTACAGCTGAAGTTGTTAGGTGTGCGGTGTTTCGTATACATGGTTGGACCGAAGCTAAATATAATTTTCCCAGTTTTTATTTATTGCGACTCTTCCGCGCTAATGCTACTGGCAGGTACTTTACTGTATAGCGAAACAAGTATTTTCAAATTACATTCTTCGCTTATATAACACTGTCGTTTGTGTAACTTGATAAATGAAAAATTCTCAGGTAATTAAACAAAAGGCAAAGATTGATTAGCTTTGCTTGTTTTTTTACATTTTCATTGTAAATCTCCTCATTAAACCATACATTCGCATATTGTAAATATTCAGTTTGAAATGAAGATGAAAAACTCATTTCAAAAATTGCTTTTATGTTTCCTGACTTAGAATATTTGAGTGCAGTCCTCTTAACAGCCTATATCGATGCATGTAAATGTTAATTGTTTTACGATTTTATGCATATCACATATTAGTTTAGTTAATGTCGTTTTGAATTGGCGCCAAATACATTCGAGATCGGTAGTTGGGGCGCTGCTGCTAACGCTTCTAATACTGGCTGTAAGCAATTGTGCGCATAATTTCAAGGCTGCATTGCGAGGAGACAAAAAAAAAAGAAAAAAAAAAGAAAAAAAGAATTAAATGAAAAGCAATTGCGAAGACCAAACCTTAGTGCAGCCAATAAGTAGTACTTGCTTACATTACTAATGTTATGTGAGTGTGGGTTGAGTGGTGTAAAATTTTCTTGTTATTGTCTTTTGAAGTTTATTGCTTTTTATTTTGCCGTTCTTGTTCTTATTGTTGTTGTCGTTGTCGTTGTCGTTGCCGTTCTTGTTGTGAACTTCTTTTCACAGATCATTTCAAATAAAATACAACAAATTTTACGTGTATGCGGGTGTATGCGTGCGTGCGAATGTAATTGCGCTTATGTATATAAGTGCGTTAATGCGTTTTAACTATTGACTATTGCTCCTATTATGCATTCAATCGCCATTAAATGGATAAAAAGTAAATGATGTAAAGTAAAAGTATATTCAAATAAAGAAAAAAAAAAAAAAAAAAATGGACAAGAAAATTATATTCAGCTCTAGCCGAATTTCTTTCATGCATTAAAAAAAAAATTATGTTTAGCTGCGGCCGAATCTTTTATATCCATTTCCATGATCTTAAAAATGACTAAAAAAAGTAAAATAACTAAATTTTCATTCTCTATAATATAGAGAGTGCGGGGATGCGGCTGATTTTTTGTATTTTCAAAATAAAAGTTTTTGTCACATAGACGTATGGACGTTTTAGGCGTGACGTTGGAAAAGTTTAAGTCGCTTGCAAATTCTTTTGCAAGTTTATAGGCGATATCTTCGTTATCATAAACATTACACAGTTGCGCGGACAGACAGATGGACATGCTTCAATATTTGAAACGGGCCAAGAATTTACTTTAATACTTTATGGAGTTTTTGGAGCTTGCTGCTGCGACTTACAAAGGTGGGGAAAAAAAAAATTAAATTTTAATATACTATAATATTAAGTAGGCGTGGTGCATTTTCTTCCATTTTTATGCAGATACTGTAAAATCACCATCAAACAAGAATATAATGGGAAATCGTTATCGTTGCAAGTCTTCCTGTTTAGAGGCAATGAGTAAAAAAAAGTTCCTTTTCTTTTTGTCTTTGCTTTCGTAAACCGAAGCTTCCTTCAATTATATTATTATATGTTGCTGTACGTGTGCACATTTTCAATATAAATCTGCCTACAGAAGTTTGCAATTCTTTTGCCAAATTTGAAGTTTATCACAGAGTTTTGCACGATGGACAGACATATGTAGCTAAATCGTTTTAGAATTTCTTACTGGCAGTTGCGAACTTTTTGATAAAATGAATACATCTGCAATCTCTCGCTTACTACGTACATATGTATATATATATTTATTTATATATATATATATATATATATATATATATATATATATATACTCTCTAAACACCTCTACACGATTGTTATTTTTCTAATTAGTTGATTAATTCATATATAGAAATTTTAAAATGGATTTCATTTTAATGCAAAATTAATGTAAAAATGTATTGTGGGTGGCGGTATCATAACTGATGTCATGTACAGAAAAAATAAAATTTATAATCAGCTTAGATCGAATTTTTTATTATGCAAAACTATTTACTTGAAAATATGTTCGCTTTAAGTTGATAATGCCTTAATGATTGAAAAATAGCCAGTGAGCATACTGTTAAACATGCTACATACGTACGTATAAATTTCTTAACTATGAAATGGTACGGGAATATAAACTGTATTCGCGCATTGAACAATACATACATAAGGACACATCTAGAAGCTTAGGTGTTTAAGATCATCCATCTACTCGTGGTAAAGGAATAAAATCTGGCGTAAATAAAATGTTCGGTAGACTCTTTGTATACAAAATGATTCATGAGTAGGTCGCGTTAATTTTTCCTTATCACAAATTAGTCTTTGAACTAACTTAGTCCTATTGTCAAAATATTGAAAAGAGAAAATTGGCAGATCAAGTTAAACTTTCGCGATCGGCGCATGACGGCGAATTGCCATTTCACTACTAATATTGATTAAATGCTTATATAGCAATAAATTTTGGATCCTACGATGCGCGATGCTACATCGATTAAATGTTAACTAAGCTTTCCAAAGTGCCTGTATTAAGCGAAGGTCAATGGTACGTTGGTGATTTACTGGAAGTTTTAGTTTAGTAGTCCATCGATTGTCGTTCTACGTACAATCTCTAGCAGACGTTGATCCATTGGGGTCATCTAATCGTAATCAATTTATAAAAAAAGGTGATAATAAGCAAAAAATTGCAATTTCAAAATCTTAGCAGATATTTAAATGATTTACGAAATGTGTAAATGGTCTGGCGAAGCTTTTCACAATTATCTCGCTTGCCAGCTAATAAAATAACTTACAATTTAAAATTATTAAATACATTATAAAAGTTTCTTTTTCCCAAGCGAAAAATTACTCTATTATTTGTTTGAGGTTATGTTGCCAAGTTTCCTTTTTTCCCAAGCGTAAAATAACTCTATTATATGTTTGAGGTTATGTCGCAAAGTGTCCTTTTTTCCCAAGCGTAAAATAACTCTATTATTTGTTTGAGGTTATGTCGCAAAGTTTCCTTTCCCCAAGTGAAAATAACTCTAATATTTGTTTAAGGTTACGTCATAAAGTTTCCTTTTCAAAAGTGAAAAAAAAACTCTATTATAACTCTGCCGCAAAGTTTCCTTCCCCAAAGTGCAAAGTTACTCTATTATTTGTTTGAGGTTATGTCGCAAGATTTATTTTAATACTTTTTGACTTTTCGATTTGATATAAAATATACATTTTTTACTTTTTTTATTTGTGATTATTTTATTAAAATACGCATTCCTTGTGAAGGTAATCTTACGTATATGGCATATTGCGATTATAGGCGAGAGTCGTGCTGATGACTCGTACTGTTTGACAAAGCTACCTAAATACATCAGACCGAGGGCAAAAGTGTCGAATGCCGGAAAGCGTAATTTCCCGGAAAATTTTATGCCCATCTCTTATGCCTCTTCTAATAAATAACACGCGAACGGAAAAGCAGAAAATATAAAAAAAAAAAAAAAAACACCTAATTATTATAATTTTAATTATTTACCATTTACTTACTTAGTCGCACCTAAGAGCAATTGTTCGATCATAATATTTTCAAAAAAAAAAAGGTAACGAAAAGAAATAGAAAAAGTTTATCATTTATGTTAACAAATGCACTTTAATCGAATACTTTGATCTCTTGGTCATTTTTGAAATCGCGTTACGCGTTGATATATTACTCACTATAGGTGAGTGTGTATACGTGTATATATATGATGTTTATAAGAAATTCCAGAGCAGAGCCGCATGTGAAATAGACATCGCCCGATTGAGCAAATGAAAATCGAATTAGCCTGCTCTGCTGCTGTAGCTTACCTAGCTGGCACTGTAACTGGCATGCGCGGCAGGCACAACAACTTAGTGTTGTGTGTTACAAAAATCCAACAACAGCGTTTATTTATTTATTTGGATTTAGTGGCGAAAGAGCCAGCTACAGTAACGGACGTGTGCGCAATAGATAAAATAGAATTTGAACAAAATTTTGATACAATTTTCAAATAACGATCGAAACGAATGAATAAAAAAAAAACAATCGAATATTATTCTTCTTCTTCTTTTCATTATAATTATTATTATTATTATTATTATTATTATTAGTTTTCTTTAATCGTTTTCGAACATATTGAGTTTTGACGGTTTTTTCAAAATTTTTTTTTTAAAAGAAGAAATTACAACAACAAAACGAAGTATAAGCTCTATGACGGCAACAATAACAGGCAGAAAAAAGCGATAATAAAAGAAAATTTTTTTAACAATAGAAAAAAAAATTAAGGGGAAAACTTGTGAAAAATTAAAAACAAAAAAAAAAAAAAAAAAAAAATTAAATTTTAATATTAACTAGAAGAAGAAGAAGAAGAAAAAGTGTAAAGAAACAAATTTTACACACAATGCATATAAATTTGTGGATATTTTCATTATGGGCGGTAAGTGGGTTTTCGTTAATACATCACAATACCATTTTTCATTATGCTGCAATAACAGCAACTTATGTCTTATTCGTTGAATGCGAAGACTTTTAATTTTTAAGTTTAACTATTCTTAGCGGATGTTGGAGGTAAATAAATGTTGCTTTGCACTCAATTCCGTTTAAGGGAGGACTCTGCTTCAAGTTGTCTCGCCAAGTAACCAAAAAATGAGTGAAAATGATTTGTTTTTTTTTGTTTTTTTGTTTTTTTTTTTTTTTTTCTTAGCGCAATATCTTATGCAACCATTTTAATAATACGTTGCCTTGAAGTTTTGATTAGCTTTTGCCGTTTCATAGGCGCTTTTGCTTTTTCATTTTTTTATTTTTTCTTTATTAAATACTCGCAAAAAAAAAAAAAAAAAAAAAAAATAAATTTTTTTTATATGGAATAATGAATGAATTAAAATATATCGGTGTAGCTAGCTATCTATGATTTATTTTATCTTGCAATGAAAAGCGAAATTTCTTAATTAAATTTTCTATTTCGCTTAGCGTATTAATGCTTTTCGAATAGGATTCTCTATAATGGTTTCTTAGTTCAAGGACGCTTGTTGTGCACTTGTAATATGCAATTTAAAATTTTTAGATGAATAATGAATAACACGTATACTATATAATGGGTAACGTATCTTATGCCTAAGGACCATTCTCTTCTTCGGTAGTTTGATATTTCTATAAAATTTTCCAATTTTGCCGCAAGAATACGTCACAAAGTGATCACAAGTGCATGACCAATTCGATATCGAAGTCAAAGTGTATGACATTTTCCTCACTTCATGCATGGTGACGCTTTAAGTTAACATACATTTTTCGATTGTAAATTTGGTTCGTAAGATAAGCAAGCAGGAACGATTATAATAACCGTAAATTATTGGGGCTGGAAAATGCGCACGAACGCGCTTTAACGCTTATAAAGTTTCTTGGATTAAATGCTAGTATTTCTCACTTTAAATTATCGAAACAATGCAAGTGTGATAAGTGATAAATCGCCCGATATAAACTGGGAAAGCAGTAAAGAGCTGAAAATATTCATTGTCAGGTGGTCATGGCTGAGCCTATGTATCGCAAAAAAAAAATGTACAAATCATTAGACTTGTAAAGATCAATGACTTTAGCTTGGCTATCGGGCTTATCTTCTTTCATTTCGTACTGCAGCAAGTGCATATGTCAGGGTACCTTCTGAAATATTGCTAACACTGAATGAATAAATGTTCAGCTTATATAAGTTCTCCCGATATATTAGTGCCTTACATAGCATCGCATAATGTTTTAAAAAAAAAAAGAATACTTTTTCAATCAATTATTGCAGTAAATTCGAACGTCTTAAGTGTTTTGCAAATCATTGCTTATTTTCAAGGCTAGAGCTGGCTAATCAGTATTCATAAGATATCGCCTTTTTAATAAGGCATTGGCGAAAGCTTATCGCAAATATGAGATAAGCATTTTTCTGTTTCTTCAACACAAGCACAAGCATCCGTAAATCAAGTCGAAGCAATAATGTCCAATTTGTTCAAAATTTAAGATTGTGGTCAATCTCTGCAATTATTAGATATCACTTAGATTAGGCGATTAAGGCCTTTGATCAATTGACAATTAGTAGTATGAAAGGGTGAGAGTATTTCGGATGAGCGTCATTAACGCAAATTTCGTGAGCCACATATATGAAATACATGCTCGTATAATGCTTGCGAAGCGATCGTGTTGTCTTTTCGGAAATACAAAAACGCAAATGCATGAAAGTTGCACGTATTTTGCGAACCTTTATGCTGCTTTATGTAACGAATTGTGTATTTATGCCCGAGTCAGTCCTTATGTGCAATCGCGAAATGATTGTGCCAAGTTCGAGGTCTTAATAGATGACTTAGAAACAGATGTGTACATATGAAGAAATTAATTCAAAAAAATCTTACACTGATCAACAGTATCTATCTATATAATCTGTTAGATATATAGGTCTGAGCAAGTGCATATTCAATGAAAACTTATAGTGTATATATCATTACTTTTACTTGCGGTATGTGTGTGTGTGTGTGTGTGTGTGTGGCGGTAACAATGGATATATAAATTGTTATGATAGTATGTTAATAAAGCTTACAATATAAACCAGCTGTTTATAATTAAAACACAGTCACCCGAGTCCAATGAGATGATTCTAACCAAAACAAAACAAAACAATATATTAACAATTTATGAATAATTCATAAGTAGTTTGTTTGCCTATGTTGACTTTATATCAATTGATATCTAAGCTCAAATCCGATGGAAGTGAAATGAAAATAAAAAAAATAAAAATAAAAAACCTGATATAATTGACCCATATATAGTTACATATATATATATATAGAACAAATGTTTAAAGGCTTATCGTCGTAACACATTTTTAAGAAATGATGGAATAAAAGTGACGCTAGAATCAAATACAAATGTAATATATGACGACCTTAACTCTGACTCATGCCCCAGAAAAAAGAGAGCGAGAGAGATTGAGTGGGATTAGCTTATATTGTGTTAAAATAAATGTATTAAGTGTTAACCAATAAATAAAACTAAAGCAAGCATAAATTATTTTTGTTTGCAAAATTCAATTATAGATAAAAATTCTATCATTAAACATACATTTTTTATTACTTTTTTTTTTCTCTCTCTCTCTCTCTCTCTCTCTCTCTCTTTGTTTTGAAAATTAATTAAAGATCAATTTTGAAGATAATAAGTTTGTAAAATGAATTTAAAAATACGTAAAAAATTGCTTTCATTTAATCTGCACGTGAATGTTGAAAACTGTTAGACGCTCAATACGACCCTTATTTCCGATTCTTGTTCCTTACCTTATTTTTATTACTTTAATTTATTCGATCATTGATGCTATGAATAATCCGTTGACGGGGGCAATCAAATGAATGTCTCGTAAATATTCTTGCATCTTGCATTTGATAAGGCTACCGCGGAAAGGAGGATTTCGAAGAGAAACTTGTAAACGAGAGCACGAAAGGCACTCTCCTCGTCTCAGAAAGTTCAAACAGTCCGCACATGATACATAATATACGTTTCAAAACTGCTTTCGCTTAAAAAAAAAAAAAATAAAAAAAAAATTTTTTTTAGCTAGGATCGAACTATTATTAAAATTTTGAACGTCACACGCCTTTTTTTTATGGTCAAAAGAAAATGTGAATGGAACGAAATTTATCCTTCGCACTTGTTAAGAAAAAATGTATCGACCATGTCACCCTGTGCCATGTCCATCATAAGTAATTTAGAATAACTTACATTTAGCTTGTCGCCTTCCACTCTTCAGATTTGTGTGTTTGATGCCCATATCGCTGGTATTATTAAGAACAACCAATCCATTTGATCATGATGTTCATCATATCGCGTTTTTAGGCAGATATCTTCATTGGAGGAATGCACGAAATCATTTTAAATATTCTGTCTTGTCCAGCTTACGATGATTATTAATAGGCCATAAAACTTCAAACAAAAGGGGAAAAAAGGAAATTAAATCACTTTTAACTTTGTGTGGACCCGAACGATTTCTCTCAACTTTTCCACATAAATAGTAGAGGCTTCGGTCAATTTCATTCCCCCTATATCTCACAATTAGTAAGCAATGAGCGAGAACTTGAAAATTTTTGTCTACAGAATAGGAGTTGTGTTCACTTTACCCTTTACTCTGGCCGTGTGCTCTGACCAATTTGGCCCATTTTCAATAGTCGATTTGTGTGAAGAAATTTCCAACATTTCTATCAAATTTGAAGTCAATATTTTTCTCTCTTTTTGCACCAGAAGACAGTCATAAAACACCCTACACAGATAGACCGACGTAGCTCACGCTCATCAAAAATACATGTACGCTTTCTTTTGGCTGTTGCAAACACTACGACAAAATGATTATACCTCTATTCTTTGGTGGCGGGTATAAAGAGATTTTCATACAGATTTTTTTTGAAATAAAAATCGTCTTTACTTTTGAACTATAGATTGCACTGTCACGCTACGCAGGAAAAAAAAAGACGATAAACATTAACGAAGATCTAGTATATAAGGGTTTTTTTTCATTTTCCCATAGCTTCATTATTATGAGAGATATGTTTGTGGTCGCGTCGAATTGATTTCCAAATTTTTTATATTTCCATTTCAATTCTTGGCAACAGATAAACAGGCTTAAATATATCGATAGAAGGGAAAATGTATCTGTATACGAATAAGAAATTGATTAAAGCGATCTTATTATATATATATATATTGATATTAGAAGACGTCTGATAAAGCACTGATTCTCTCTATAGCATGCATGAACGGAGAACTACTTGATTAGCTTCTGTATGCAGCTTCCATGGACTCTGGGGTTAAATTTCTTCTTCGATTGTTGCCAGAATTATGGTTACCTTATACCTTACACCACTTGTGGTGCAGCGCATATTAAATTAGTGCCAAATTATGTAAAACGCAAGAAGCCCTTAATCTAGACTCACCTTTTGTTGTACCAATCGATTCGTAATCGATCATAATCCGAATTAATCTAAGCCTGTCTGTCCATCTGTCCACCTGATCAATGCATTTTCATATCAAACTAAGAATTGTGTTAGCCAATATGGTTTAGGGTATTTAGTGGTAGACCTTGCTCGACTATAACGTTCTTAGTTGGTTTTGTGTATTACGAGAAAAGTGTTAACAGGATTACACTATTCAATGTTATTTTATTAATGCTTTCAAATGCCTATCTGCGAAACGAAATAATACATGTTACGTATGCGCTTTCTTTTAATAAACATCGAGTAAATTCGTTATTCGCAAGTTATACAAGAAATTAACAGTAGCTCATGAACTTACTTTGTAATCACATTGATTGCTTGGTTGACTGACTTAATAACAATGATTATCGCTTGTAATTAATGCCTATAATTACTTATGTAGCGGCACATCTGTAAAATGCATAACAAATGTTAAAATGATATTCGCCTC